TTGAACATATTCACAAATACGCTCACATTGCAAAGGGGGGGAGGGGAAACAAGAAAAGACACATGCACGCTCGCACACGGTGTAAGAAAGACAGCGGGAGGGAGGGAAAGAAGCCAAAACATGAAGAAAAGCCAAAAAAGTGACAGGGAAATGAAGGAAAGAACAATAGAAGGAAGAAGAGGAGATGGGGCGATATTACAAGTTGTGGTGAACGCACCCATTTAAAATCAAATATTAAAAAAGAAGTTTATTTTAATTTTAAAATACCAGGTGTTGAAAGGTAGCAATAGCCTCTGAAACAAAGACCAAAGACAGGAAGGGAAAGACAGACTGCTCTAACTCTGGGCTCCTTGCCCCCTGCCCATTTGTGATCATCATCATCATCATCACCACCACCACCACCGCTGTGGCCACCATTTACTTTATCCACAGGTACCAAAATCAGCACGTACTGCCAATGACCTAAATATAGTCACGACAGCATTGCTACTTTCTCGTAGAAAATATACAGCTCTAACAATTTTCTGCTATTACCAGTTGCTCTGTTATTGATTCCGAGGAAAAGGGTAAGGTGAAAACCCATTAAAAAGGAAGAGCAGCCATTTCACAAGCCCTTTTATGGTTCTTTAAAAAAAAAAGCGTCAGACTATACCAACAACCTATGAATGCATTTTAGAAGTCTCTCGCTGCTCCATTAGAAGAATGAGTTTAGAAGACATGAAGCCCGACATTAAAAATCAGAAGCATTTTAATATGACATAAAATGGGACTTGGTCTTCCCAAACAGCCAGTTCTGTGAAGATTTATACCCATACACAATTTACAAGGGTCTATTCAAATCCTTAAATGCTTGAAGGATTACGGCATATATTTTATTAGTAAAAATCAAAGTCAAGTTACTTGCAACAGGTACTTCTGACGCTACCTGCATGTTCCAGACAATGTGAAATGGTTTTACAACAGACAAAGACAATAAAAAGGAGAAATGTCTAATAACTACACACTGTTGCACTTACTGCACAAAAATTAAGTCCAAATCAACATTTAAAAACTGTCTGAGGTGCTCAACACCCAAAGCATCCAAGGGCAGGAGCCCTGGGTGTAAGCAGTCCAGGGAACCTAGCACATGGTACTGGGCTCTAAAATGGGTCCCAACACAAAAGGTGCATATAGGGTCTTCTTCTGAGAATCACCCTATAAACTACTATGCTAGGAAATCTATGGAGCATGATCCTAAAACCTGGTTTCAAAAGGTGGAATCCTTTTTCTAATGAAAGCCATCCTGCAGTGTTAAATCACAGTATGGAAAAAGGGCCACAATCAATCTTAATACACCTCCAGCACTCAGCTGTAAAAATACCTTGTCGCATTGCCAGATGCTTCCTAGAAACTAAAAGCAAATCTCTCTGGATGGTCTCGTACAATTATCTTGCCCCTGCCATGGAGCTTGACATTTTAGGTACTTGAGATCTTCTGAATCTGCTTCAGAATTTTACAGCCTGAACCGCTGGAATCCCGAGACCCAAATGGACTGAAAAACCACCACAAACCAGTAAGGCGGCAGGCAGGGAGGATAAATATTCTTGCTCTATTACAAAGGCATATGCCCTAGCCTTAAATCCCATTTGCAAGAAGACTTACACCAGCACACCTCTGAAAGAGGGCTATAAAAACTGAAAAATCAGCCAATTGAAAATTTGCAAGAGGGAGTAAGACAAAAAAATTCATGGAAGCCCAAGACCCTCCATGACAGGCTGTAACTCCCTGCATTTGTCTAATGCACACAGAACACTAAAAGGTTGAAGTTACAGTAATTCAATATGGAGGGGAGGCAAAAGCAGAAAAGTACAGTAATAAATATAAAACACCATAACCTTTAAGGAGGTTATTGCTATTCATACGGAAAAATTCAACTCCTTTCCAGCGTTGTACTTGCAATTTTTTTGCAAGGGCAATATAAAAGAAAAAAGAAAAGAAAAGCTATCTAACAGGTAGGTGCCAACTCTGTATTCCTGTAATAAATGTGTAATGATATGGAGTGCTAAGAAAAACCTTTGCATAATATATATTTATGCTCAAGGTGAGTAGTTTGTGGCCATGCTGGTTTAAGTACCTTAATATTTTTAATGTTTTGAGCAAACACATGCATTCACTGGTCTAGCCTGCAGCAAACTATCTTACTGGTTAAAAACTCACTGTTTGAATGATTGTTGCATATTGCAAGTGTCAAGATAAATTAAGCTGGAATTTGATCCGGACTGTAAATTTTCTCTGCTCTGCAGCTGCCCACAGGTGGGAACACTTCACTTCTATTTTGTTTTTGATAGTATTGTTGTTTCCCCTCACTCCCATAGCCAGGACGTGACAGAGTTTCAGAAAAGTCAAATGTTGCTTTCTTCATCATATTCTGCCATAGTTCCTGTCACTTTTCCAGATAACGATAGCTACATGCTTTTGAATATATTACTTCAAAACAGCTTAAACATTTCATAGTTAGTAAAAATAATTTTTTGACATGTAACACGACACACACAAAAATCTCTCTTGTCTAGTGGCTTGCTGATTTATTGCAGACTACCTTCCTTCGTATTGATTTAACATCTCTAAGCTAGCTCTATCGGGCGTCTGAAATCTGCAGTCTTATGTCGAGTGAATTTCGGACCTAAAGACAATTCCAAACCCGTCGTGGGAGTCCAGCACACGTCAACACATGGCTGGGAACCTGTGTCGTAGTAATGGAACAACTGAGCGGGGGCCAAATTTTTCGTCAGGCATGCTACAAATTAATCGCACGCCCTTCCCAAGTGTCACTCTGATCCCCTCCCCATGCCCCATCTGCTGCTCTGCTTTCTGCTTCCTCCCCTGTGCTCCCTGCCCAATTTGCAGCTCTGCCTTCTGCTTCCTGTCCTCCCTGCCCATCCCCTCGCACATCTTGCTACGTGGCGCACACAGAGGCTACCCCTGCCACTTCTGACACTCGTGCCACCCCTGAAACACACCAACTTTGTTTTGTTTCAAATTCGTTGGCTAAACTGCAGACAAAAAAAATATCTGAGGTGGTTTTAAGACTAAGATTTTAAGTAAGACCAATGACAGCGGGGTCTGAAGCTGCCCAATCAGAAACACCTTTAATGGGATTTTGTTTTCAGAAAGTGGATGCCTGGCCCCGTATTAAAATACGGCCTTCTGAAGGTGTCTCAGGTTGGGCAGCAAAAAGCCATTACCTGTGGAAATCTTAATCACAATAATGAAGTAAGATGAGAAGAACCCTCCTGCCTCTTCCATAAGGAGCCAGACGACCACCTAGACAGCCAGTGCGAGAGAGGCTCTTTCTTCCTGTACTGTAATTAGCTCTGCAATATTTTCACCGAGAGACACGCTTGATACATCTCAAAGGCCATCTCCGTTATGGTCAGCTGCTTGAAGCCCCAGTAATTTGAAATGCGGATTTTATTTAAAAAGCCATCTTTGAGCTAATATGATCCTTGAATCAACCTGACAAAAAAATAAGCTTCACTTTAAACTGCTAAAGTGGTTTTTAGTCACGCTTAACAGATATCCTTTGGCAATGAAACTGAAGCCTCCAAAGCAGTCGCATCCTGCTCCAGAAGTGCTTATGCGCAGGAGGCCTACAGCTTGCCTTTAATACCATCACATTTCCATATCCGATTCATGCGAGATGTCTTTACAGGATACATCCCCACCAGGGAGATCTCAACTGACACACAAGATCAACTAACGCCAAGAGCATACAAGGAGCAAGTGTGTGTTTGCAAACAAGCACATCTGTCTGGAGCACTGGCTACAGAATAAAGCTGATTGATCTCCGCTTGGTTGGAGCAATGCTGTTTTGCATGCAAGCACTTACAGGTCCCCATTTTCCAAGTGCACACCAGGAGAAGGGGTGACACACACAAAAAAAACAAAACCCCTATTAGCACTTGAGCTTTCCCAGGGCTGATTTCCTGGGCTTTCACCTACTCCTGTACCAAAAAAACTGAGTTAGATCTCTGTATGATGCCTACCACTGCTGGAGACAGAATTAGTAGAAAAGTTCTGGTCAGGAAAATCCATGATATAGGAAAAACCATCAATATTTAGCAGTCACTGGAGGAGGAAGAGAAGGAGCATGACAAGATAAGGCAATTAAATATACATTTTCCTTCCACTGAATGACTGCCAGCCATTACGATCAATCAAAAATTCAGAACTCAGTGCCATCCTACCCACATACTGAAAAGCATCCCATGCTCGCTCATCAGTGAGGCCTGGCGCAACTGCTACTCTCGAATAGCCTCAACATAGTACTTCACCATATTTAAGTTGTATTTGACTTCACTTAAGTTGCATTTGATTTTAATCCACACCAGAAGCTTTATTTGTCTCACTAGGTATAAAAAGTTTATCATCTCTGGCATTGAATAAAGTTGCAAAATATTGTAGTAATCTTTCATTTAGTTCTAGGAGACTCCATTTTTTTTCCAAGTACATTCAACCTTTATTTTCCCCCGTGCATTTAGTCTTGCAAATGGGAATGGTGTTTGCAATGCAACCCACTAGTATGATTTTTAAGATAAGTAATTGAGAAAAAGGCAGTTTAGACCATCTCTGGATATGAAATGTGTGTCTCTGTAAAGGATACAACAGCTTGAATGGGTAGAGACTAATGACACATCAATAGATAAGAAATGTTTGCAAGACAGCCTTACTGTCAGATAAACTGGGCCTTTATTTAAAACATTTTTTTTTTTTTTTTTTTTTTTTACTTTTGACTAAGCCTTCAGCTGGGTAATAGGATAGTTTAATTCCTGTGTAATGATCTTCATCAAAGCCCAACCAGGCTACAAATATAACATGTTAATGGACCCAGCTACACAGTTGGCCCTTGACCCAATTACAATATGGCTAATGGAGAACAAGAAAAGATCTGTAAAAATAAAGTAAAAATCACATTCACTAGCAGTCCAGTCATCTACAAAACATTCACAATCAATGCCTACCTTCTTTTCCCAGCAGCATCCCTCTTCCTCTCTCTCTCACACACGCACGCACGCGCACGCAGACACTCTTGCCTTTTACAAGTCATAATGCAGGAAGTGTCGAACTCAATTTTTTATGTCTTTTGCAAGTCATCTGAAGCTCCAGATTTTCAAAAATGTAACCTCTGCACGCAGAGCTCTGGGCGGGGGTGGAACAGAAAGAGGTCACATATATGTGGAGAGCTAATTATACTAAAATGGTGAGCACACCACAATACACAAATAAAAGAGAGGCAACCAAGTGAATCGACTAAAGGTTGAAGCTCTGGGATTTTTTGTGTTTTTTAATATTGGCTATAGATACCGACCACCACTTGCAAAGAATACATTTTTCAAGGAAATATGGACTGAGAGGTCTTATGCTGAACAAGAACACAACTGAAATCTACTGTACGCAGCTCTCTCTGTCAAGAATTTTTAAAAAAAGAGACGCCCACCACAGAAGTCTGAAACGTCTCCAGTGCAACATGCACAAGGACTACTCTCGCTTTCAATTTTGATTAAATTTGGTAATAGTCATTTAAACCTCTTAACACCCTGATAAATGCATGCCCCTCCTCAGTCTTGCCAGACACATTAACTGCTCATTCTGACCAAATAACTCTTGTTCCCAAAGCACAGAGGTATATTTGCCTTTGAGTTAATGAAAGGCTCAGTATCTTTTCATACAGTTTCTTTTGAGAGCTGCAAAGTGACTGGTTCTTCATGCCCCATGAGCTGTCGTCATGCATCAAATCTATACTTCTCCAGGTTTTATTTATTTATAACTGGTGGTATTCAAGTTTGGAGTGGTGCTATTTACTTACTTTGAAATAAGACTATCCCGGAGCACATTCATTTTAAACAGTGTAAACTGTGCAGTCATAGCATTAGAAACCTACTGCACAAAACTGTTCTGAGTTTAGACATTTTACTTCCTAGGCAGCAACAGAGGAGGTAGCAGCAGCCTGCACTGTCATTCATTACTATGGATCGCTGTAGGAGTTTCAGTTTACAGCCTAGTGTCCAAAGTTACTGTTAATGCTGGATACAGAACTGCATTTTGAAGTAGGTGTATATACTCCCCGCAACCCACCAAGTCACTGTGTCAAGACCCTGATGGGTGACAGACACAAGTGAACAGATGTCCCACTTCCTTTATAACCGTCCCCCTAAGAAAAGTGACAGGATTCCCGTCTTCCGGCATTAGGGCACCCATGCTCATAAAAATAATCTCACTCAATGTGAATTCCCTGTCCTTGTACATCATACCAGGAAGCATCTAAAAGTGATTCCTAGTTGTCAGGCTTGTCTACACAGGGCACTATCCCAGATTAACTCCACGTGTGGACTCGTCTAACATAACTCCATATGTGGACAAGTTCTTAGTGTTTTTAAGGTGGTACCTTTCATTACAGAATATAAAGGCAGAACCAAAGCCACAGGACCCACAAGAAAGTTTGTTATGGGCTTTGTCAGCACAGTGACTACACTATTAGCCGTGACTACAGTACTTCGGCGGCACTAAATTTGATGGGAGAACTGAGATGACTGCCCAAAAGCTACATACAAAATTTCTGCTCTGTGGATTTGTACTGAATGGCCAAACCTGACATTCTAATCCCCGATCCAAAACTGACATTGTAATCCATAAAGAATCCTAATCCTTGATATGATGGGGGATTAAACAAGCACACATTTAAGATTTTGAGCACTATTCATTGGTTCTCTCATCCTCCCCCCACTTTGTGGTTACTGCTTCTACTCTGGACGTCAGGAAACATGCTTTGTACAAATCAAGTTCTACTTTCTCCTCACATCTAAAGTGACCCCTCCCTGCCCACAGCACCCATGCTGTTAGGAGATGCACCCACACAAGGTTTCATTCATTTAGGGATCAAGAACCTTATTTCTGGAATACTTTTAAGCAGATTTTTGGAAGTCTCCATATCTCTCTCCAAATGAGAGACTGATTGCAAATACACATTCAACAAAAATTTCTCTTGCCTCCTTTATATGAGCTTTCTTAACTTATCAAACCTGGAGACACATATGGAAGTGATAAGACAGAGGAAAGAACCTGAACACCCCTCCCTCCTTCTATCCCTATTCTGGAAAGCAACTGGAGTTATCAGTATAAAGCAGGAGAGGCTGCCTGGAGTTCATGCTCTCTAGTGTGTGGTGAGCCTTAGTCCTTCCTAGTCCAAACCAGTTTTATAGGCTGGCTGGCTGGAAGCTGAGGCAGAACCAAAGCAAAGTTATTCCACTGGGTCTTCATTTTTAAGTGTTTGGTTATAGCTGGTCAACCTGGAGTCATTCTTCTCTTTCCTGCCCATTTATTAGGCAGAGCCTTGGAATTAAAATCAATGCATTCACACATCAAACACCATTCCAGCAGGCGGACTAACACGTGTTATTCGTAAATTCACAGGACAGCTTCCATCTGTCACAAACCTAAATGAGCAAGTAAATGGACAACACAATACCATATGAAACTCCCATGCTGATAAATACAAGACGACATACATAGGGGGGTGGGGAGTAAACTTTAACTCGCTCATACAGTTAAAACACAGTAAAATACATGAACTCTGGAATAGGATTTAAGCGTTTCTAGGAGAAGCTCAGTGTGCAGTTGCAGCCAAATAAGCAAGCAGCTTTAGGATCCTATTCAAGAATACAAAAATTATGCTGTTCTTCGAGTCAGTGCTTGAAGGTTTGGAGGAGAAGAACTTTTAGGTCGGCAGCTTACCCTACATCTGACCAGAGTGGGTGCTGGGACAGATAAATAAAAACCCCATTTCTAAATACGTATTAAAAACTTGCACAGTGTAAGCTTAAGTTAGACTTATTATTAGAAACAAGGCTGGTGGGGGAAGGAACACTATTCACGAATCATTAGTAGCCTTGCTTAACAAAAAAAAAAAAATAGATAATACAACAGGTTCTTAGAAACCACAGCTTTCGGGAAAAACCTGAAATAAAAACCCGTGTACGTTGTAATGATTATGTTACTAGGGATATACACGACTCCAGACATTTGTAGGCAGGAGTCGTATGCAAATGTGTTCTCACTGCAAAAGAGCCTGGCTCTAAAAATAGTGCAAGTGCCAGAAAAGGAAAAAGAATAAGGCAGATAACCTCAGCTTGTTGAGAAATGACAATTTCCACTTGTTGAATCTAGGCGGAACCTAGGTTTAAGCCCGGAGATAATTGGCAGCAGCAGGAGGGCAGCACACTAGCACGGCCTTGCTTCAGTAACAGCTCTGCAGTCCCTACCTTCCCTCCCTACAGCCTGTGTTTTCATTTTCTCTCTCACCGGCTGCTAAAAGCAGTGTCCAGGGGCTGAGACTCTCTTGGAATACCAAATAAAAGTGGTTTCTCAGTCATTCACCTTCAAAGCGAAGATAGCAGCCAGTTATACCTCCCCGCAACAACACTGCAGCTCTCCAATCTTATTTCTGCTGTCACCAAGCCCTTTCAATTGTTTGCAAGCGGCACCGGTCTACATATTATTCAGACCACAGTTCCATTTTCTTTGTATAACGCTGCATTTTACCCAAGGCTCCATTTTGAAGCCAGTTTATGTAGCAGCTCCAAATAGTGCATAATCCAGGCTACCAGGTTTAAACGACACTACTATTTATATGTGGACAAGGTTCTTCAGGTAAATCCGATATCTTTTATTAGACCAACTCAAATAGTTGGAAAAATTCTTCTTATTTGTAAGCGAGTATGTAAGAGAATGAAATGTGTCTGATATTGAGCTATGCCACCATTTATTTTAAAATGCCATAATAATAAATATTAGCGTAAGAAAGTTGGTAACTGGGAGCAAAGCCCCTTTACTCGGAGGACACTCAACCAACCTGATAATCACCAGAAGTTTGTCTGCTATGTCAAAGTTTCATGTCATGGTAGTGTTAGAACTATGTTGTAGCCATGATGATACCAGAAATTACACAAGAGGCAGGGATTTTTGTGGGGTGACATCCTTTATTGGACCAACTGCATAGTTGGGATAGGATTAGACAAGCTTTGAACGCAAGGCATAGAAGCTTATCTAACTGTATCCCAACTACGCAGTTGGCCCAATAAAAGATACCACCCAAAAATCCTTGCCTCTTGCATATCGCTTTGTAAGATAGCTGAATACAGTCCAGTCCCCAAGGGGAAGTAATTAGAATGCAAGAGAAAGCAAAATGCATGAGATACTGATCACTTCCATGATTGCACAGTGAAACTGTGGAATCCGGCCAATCCCCAAAATGAAGTAGGGGAGAAACACCAGCAAGTCCGAGACTGGCACAGAAGGTATTCTCCCCTTGCAAGGTGCACAGACAGCAGTCTGGCAACCTACACCCCTGCAAACAGCAGTCTGGCACGAATCTCCGCCATGGGTGGTGTGCCTCTGACCAGGCACGTCTCACCTTATACACAACTCGGAGGGTATCGGGCCTCAGCCTCTTTGCCACCCAAGATACAACTGGCTGCCCCATAGGGGTCAAGAATTCAATGGAGATCAGGACCTTCATGTCTCAGCTAACATACATTTCAGAACATAAGAATCGCCATTTACTGATCGGATCATAGGTCCATCTTGCCTAGTAACCTATGTCACACCATGGCAGAGAGCGGATGCTGAAAGGGGGAGTGAACCGGGTATGACCAGGGGTTTTTCCACTGTTCCTCTCACTTGCAGCCTCCAGCATTTAAGATGTAGGAAGTTCTGATTTGCCTAGAATAGGTAGCATTTTCTAACTGAAAACATCTATAAATCTGCCCACAGTAGATGAAGCCCGTTCAGTTGTGCTTAAAATCATGCAAGCTGCCCAGGGTTAATTCTAGGGCAAAATCATATGCAGCACTATTGCATTCCCTATGTGTGCTGCCTTGTCTACACACTACAGGCAGTAATGACCTTGGCAACAACAGTCCCTTCAAGTCAGGGCTGAAGCACATTAAGCCAGGCAGAGGAAGCTGTTCTATGGGAAAAGGGAGTATCTTCCTTCCCAGCACCATCAGTTTGGCACTCCCCCGTTCTCTCCTTCAAGCACTACATTTACAGTACAGTTAAATTAAACAATCTTTTTTTTTTTTTTAACTCATTCTCCCTCCCCCTCCAGAAAAATAAGCTGTGAGCTGGAATTCAGATGTTATGTGCCCAGTTGCACCTACTCATGACCTGAAATATCCAAGTTCAAACTTACTAAAAAGCAGAGTACATAACAGATATTGCTTTTAGCTTGACTTCAGTCAGGGTAATGCCTGCTACTAAAACAGCAGTCCAGAAAAGCTCTTATGTAGACCCATCTAGTCAACCTTTCCATGCTACAGTGATTCTCAACCAGGGTGCCTTGAGATCCTTTCTAGGGTGCTGCAGGATGCCACCAAAAA